TTTTTTTGGGATTAAGGCTTGGATGTTGTTGTTGTTGTATTTCCATTTGAGCTACACACTAATTTTAGAGATTACACCATCTTCCAAAAAGAGATCCTCCAATTTTGGTTCATCTTATGGAAAGATTGGCAAGCTCAAGTACTCATATATCCTCCATATTCGATCCCAAAGTCATCTCCACCAACATTCAACACTTTGCTTGTCATTCATATAAATAGTTGTGTGCAAGATTAGAGCAACGTAATGCAATTTTTTTTTTCTTTTTTTTTTTTAAATTTTATCCGATACGTTACCCTAGTGAAGTTCATGTACGAAAACACAACTAGGTGAAGTATATAGGTTTGAGGAAATAAAAGGGTGTGACTAATTTCATTGCGACGTCTGACCAATAATTTTCAAAATAAATTAAAACTTTTGTCCTCAAATCCAATAAAAAAACATTTAAAAAGGTATCCGGAAATTCAAAAGAAATTGTGTATGTATTTTATTGATAAAAAATATGTAAAAACATTTTAACTGAATTTTATTTATTTACATCGGAATTTGCATTTCCAATTTGCCTAATTACTTAAAAGAATCAAAGAAAAGCATTGTTTATAATAATTTAAGTAATATTTTATAAACGCAATTTGAAAAAAAATGACCGCATTTTATTGACGGTTTTTATAATGTAGGGGAAATTTGTATAGACGGAGCTGATATACTTCATATTGATGGGGTTGATATTTAAATTTATTCACGGTGCATGGATGCAGATAACCTTATACCTAAAATTTTGAAAATTAAATATAAAAAACAATTGATTAAATAATTAAGCGTCAATTATGTTATTTTTAATATTTATATCAAGGGTGTTTTGATCTTTTTAGATCCAATATGATCAACTTTTTGTCGAGATTAAAATCTAGTCATTTTTCGTCTATTGTAAACTCATAATTATCACTGTTGTCTTTTTCCATATTTATGTTTGTGTCGACATTTATATTTATATTTCTACAAGTCTATGCATCCATGTGTTGCACGGATAAATTTTCCATAAAATAATTTATTTAATGATTAATGTGTACATACTTTTAAAATTCAAGACTGAATACATGATAGAAGATTGTGTTAAAAATACATATATGTAATTTCATCATATACATATTTACTTTTACTTCAACTATGTACTCATATTTTGAACAAATACATATATGTAATATTCACTTCAAAATTTAAAAAGATCAAATTTATGCACTGATATCATACTTTGGCACTAATATAAGTTGTTACACATAATATTTTTTTCAGTGATTTCGAGATGTTTTCACCCAGAATGAAATTTGCTGCACTTGATTAATTTGATCTAGTCTGATTTTTATTTAAATATGTTATAATATGATATGATTAATTTAAGCTTGGCTTGAGATGATTAATTAGTTTTAAGTCTAGTCTACCCCAGTACTAAGTGTGATTCACCAATGTTTATGATTGGTGTGGTCAAGTCTTATTAAGGGCTGATTTGGTTTAACCTATTTAACTCTGGTCAAGATGGGTTTGATTTGATCTCTCCCAGCTAGTCTGGTTTGGTCTGATCTGAGACGATAATTAATTATAATATGATATGATTAATTTAAGCTTGGCTTGATATGATTAATTTTTTTTTTGGGTGAACCGTAAGTAAAGGCTTGATATGATTAATTAGTTTTAAGTCTACTCTACCCTAGTACTAAGTGTGATTCACCAATGATTATGATTGGTGTGGTCAAGTCTTATTAAGAGCTAATTTGGTTTAACATATTTAACTCTGGTCAAGATGGGTCTGATTTGATCTCTCCTAGCTAGTCTGATTTGGTCTGATTTGAGACGATAATTAGTCCAAGTAAAAACATCATTACTATACTTCATACGTTATTATAATTACCATATTAATATATCATATTCTCTACCCCTCCGACGTCCCTTAAAGCATTGCCAAGTTTTCTTTTTTGATTGTCCTACTAACTTTGCCACTTTCGTTTTTAAGTAAAAAAATTGTTGTTCCAATTAAATCTATCTCCTCAACACAAATTTCAATCACACAATTTACTTTAGAGATAATAGCCCTAAATAGGACCAAATTAATCCCTAAATGTACAAATAGGACTATGTTACGGAGTATTTATTTATCTTTTCCAAATAGGAGTAAAGTATACTCTATCTTCCTATTCTATTCTTACCACAACTTCATAGAATAATCATATTGTAATTTGTAATAAATACAAAAAAAAATTAATTCAACTTATACAAAAAATCGTAAAAAAAAATTCTATTTTTTAAAACAAATACGAAAATCATAAAAATCAAAACAATTTTTTTAAAAAATAAAATAAAATACTTTAAAAACAAATAAAAAATAGATAAATTAACACCTTAAAATATAAAAAAAAATATGGAGGCCTTTCCCAGAGTCTCGGCTATTGCCCAAAAACGTTATCTCTGATTGGCTACATATGCCATTTTGGGAAGAATGCCAAAAAAATTCTCGGAAACTGCCATCAAGATGACATTTCTGACTCATGCTGACATTTTTTTTCCCGGTGATCGGAGCTGATGGTGCCGGGAGGTTGCTGAGGCGCCAACATAGGCCTGCATATATTTTTATTTTTTGAACTTTTTTATTTTTATTAATTTTAAATAATTTCTATTTCGTGTTTTTTTTTTCATTTTTATTTAAATAAAGTTATGTTAGTACTTTTATATTTTAATTATTAATGAAGTATGAATTGTATAAAACAAAGCAAAGGTGGAATTGGAAAGCTGGTCCTAATTGGAATTGGAATTGAACCCCCCCGGAGTAAAAAAAGAAAATATTTAAGTTATGATCATATTTTAGCAATAAAAATTTCATTTAGTCCTATTTGGGGAATTCTTTCTTTACTTTATTAATATCCGTGCCGGTCAAGTTTAACAAAGTTTTATGGGACAGAGAAAGTATTATATTATTGTCTTAAATGATGTATTGAGTAATAATAGCTAAACATTAAATAAGTGCCAACAAATTTTCACCTAGTTAGGAGGAAATTATATATACAGTACTCAATACCCTAATAGTATTGGACTACCTCCGTCCCCCTAATATTGGGACGGAAGAGAGTGATGTTATTTTTAATAAAAGTAGAATTATGTGGTTGATAATGAGTTGATACAATGACAATAAAATAAGAATGAATTAGAGTTACACAAATGTTACCCAGTGGAGGACCTATGGGGATCCTAGGGGGAAGTGCCCCCGCTTCCGACCCCGAAGTTTAAGATTAGTACTTAAGATAAAAATCGTGCCTCCGCTCCCGGTCAAAAAAACTAAATATTTTTCAATAAATATTACCGAAGTAGAACTAATAGACATAAATATTACGTAGTACTATAGTTACCATGCATAGTCACTATCACGATAGATTCAACACAATCATAGTTACTAAAATTACCGTTGTAGTTACTAAGTCTTATTGTTGTTCACTATCTTTATTTCGATCATATTGTCATTATTTAAAAAAACTCCATGCTATATAGTACTCAACCGAAGACATAACAATTGTAGTAAGAAATAGTATAAATTATAAACAATCACGAAGTTGTGATGGAGCAAATTCTTATACTTAGACATGTTGATATGGTTATTACACTTTCTTTGGAAAGTGGCATTGATGATTTTCTTACTTAGTGTAAATAATGTTTGCCCAAAGTTAAAGGTCAACGATATGACAAGGGCTTCTAATATTTAGGATGAACTTAATAGATTGAAGACTTTTACCTTGAATAAAAGTCCATACAAGAAAAAATGTGTCAATTCGTGATAAATTAGTTTCAAACCAACGGACTCTTTGATTTTTTGTCTATAATATGATAAATGTTAGATGCATAGAATTATATTATTAAGTAAAGTTGTATTAAAGGATGAAATCATAAACATGATTTATACTTCATTTTTAACACGATAGTATTATATTCCAGACGAAGTACCAACTAATTTTGTGGCATTATGTGTAACATTTGATATGATTCTAGTTGAGATATGAAATCTTGATCATTTTATAGTCTGAAAAATAATGAGAATTCTAATGTAAAATAAAAAATGACACAAAGATGACCCATTTTTTATCCAAATTATATCTTTCTTTCAAAAAGCCATATATATTATTTAGAATTGTCTTAATAAGCTCAAAATTTGACTTATAATCCATATGTGTTCATTGCTTGAAGCCGCCAGTCAGCATTGAATAATATATTTCCAATTAAAAATAATAATTTGAACGCATTTGACAAAAAGACTAGTGATACACCCGATTCGATCCGACCCGACATATTTCCATCTATGCGGGAGTGCCCTTGCTTCAGAAAAGTTCTGGGTCCGCCACTGATGTTACCCAATAAAGTACTCCCTCCGTCCTTTAAAACTTTGTCATCTTTCCTATTTGGGACGTCCTAAAAAACTATGTCACTTTCCCTTTTAATCAATTATTTTGTGGTTTCTGTTATTTCTCTCTCCTCTGCGCAAACCTAAACCACATAGTTTTTACTTTATTATTCTCCGTGCCGGTCAACTTTGACAAAGTTTTAAGGGACGGAGGTAGTATGAGACAATTATAGGGGACGGAGGGAGTATACACGTGGTCTGTGTAAAGATATAAATATACGCATTTTCATTTGTATTTGCATTTGAGTTTGTTTTTGGCACATTTTGTTGACCAGAAAAAAGAACACTATCTCAAGCAAGCCATACACTGATACACGTATATTGTATGTACATTAGCTCGCCACATCAGCTCATCTCTCATCAAATGATTGGTTTTTTAAGAGAGTGCTATAATTATTTATACATGCTACTTATAATATGGAGTAATTATTACTATCTTCGTCCAAAGTTTACCGGCACGGAGAATAGTAATGTAAAAACTTTGTGTTGAGATTTATGTAGAGGAGAGAGAAAAAACAGAAAACACAGAAAAATTGATTAAAAAGGAAAGTGGGAAGAGTTTTTTTTGGAAAGGAGGGAGTATAAATATTTCGATTGTTAGGCGTACTCTGTGCTTTCGCACGCTCACAGAAAAGGAGACAAAACAGCTCAGAACCATCCAACAGTCTCCAGCTCTACCAGCTTGATCCATTTTTCTTCTTCATTCTCCTGCTGTGTACGGGTAATTTATTTATTTGTGATTTTTTTTAATTTGTCTTAGTACACTAAAAATATCATCAGATGAATGATAAATGCCTCAGACCATCCAGGTTGATGATTTAAATTCTCCCGCATTTGATGGTGTTCTGTCATTTTCTGCAATTAATTCTTTTTATTAGGTAGTCTGAGTTTGGTTGCAGCTGTTTAAGTTTTCACCTCTGTTCAGTGTATTGGGAATTGCTCCCATTGATTATGGGTTGACCTTGACTTTTATCATGTTACTGCATGGTAAAAATGACTCCTTAACTTCCCTTATTTTACCCTCTCTGATTGCCTTCTTTTTTATTTAGCATTCCCTATTCCCATACAAAAAATATCCCCTATAACCAGCTGAGGCCCCACAATTCCACAAAGGGTTATGTGTGTTTGAATCAGATTCTTTGATAGGGGATGGAAGTCTAGGTTAGTTGAGATACTATCATCATTCTTGTTGGTTTTGGTTTTTCTTTGAGTATGTGCTAAGATTGCTTTTGGTTTTGGTGTTTGCACTGTTTGATGAATTGTTTTCATGTTTTATTATGGTTCCATCTGTAAAAAGTTGGTTGAACCAGCTTAATTTTCTATGGTTGTTACTGAATTGGCTTATTTGCCTGAAATATCCATAAGAAGTCAAATAAATGAATTAAGGAAACTATTTTTGGTAAAAGAATCAGTTACTTTTTTTTATTTCCAAATGCTGTGCTGTGCCTGCAGTAGGTAGTGTTTTGGGATCTAACAGTCTTTGCAACCTCAGGAAGGAATTTTGTTTGCTGAAAATATGGGTGGCTGTGTTTCTATCCCGACTGACACAATAAAATCGCAAAGATTGGTCCTCCCGAAGTGTCACAGGCTTCGCCGGAAGAGGAGGCGGCCTTGTGGCGTTTCTGTTGCACCAATAGAACAGTTTTCCTATGGTGCTGATTTTCTGAGAGATTTTGAGGCAAACAATGTGCTGGTTTCACCAGAAAATGATGAAGAATGGAGGGGGAGAGCTAGTTTTCATAACATTCCTAGCCAACAAGTTGAAAGTGGTATATATGTAAATAAATTACTATATTGGCATTACATTACTATTACCATTACTATTATTATATGGGTAATAGTAACTCAAGTCTTAATTGCAGGGCTATGTCAAGATGAAGACTGGTTTGAATCAAATAGTGTCCTTGATTCTGATTCTGATGAAGACTATAGCAGTGTTCATGGAGGTAATTATTAGTAACTATTTGTATACCCATACTGGTGTTTGTTTACCAATAGCAGTATAATGATGTTGATCAATGAGTTATCTCACATTGATTAAACATGAATAAATGAACATGTAGGACACCCGTCGCTACTACTTGAGCGTTCACGTTTATGATAGAAATATACCCAAGCTTTTATTCTTTTTAGTTTTTAACACATGATAATATGTTTTAGTATGGAGTAGTTTTTCGTTTCTGATTTGGTGTTTTTTATCAGACTTTTGTCCATCATCGGGCAACACAGCCGGGAGCATAGCGCCAAACCAAGCAGCCGCTTTGAATGGAGACAGATTTCCCGAGCTTTGTAAGTTTTGTTCGGTGGAATTTGTATATATGCACACACACACTTTGAAGTGTATGCTTGGATCATATAACATGCTAAGGGAAAAAGTTCTGAGGAAAATTACTTTCTTATGTTTGGTTTTACGTAGGTAAATGGCTATATTAATGAAGTGAAATGAGTAAAGTTCTAAGGTAAATTACTGTTTTCTTAGTGTCAATATAATGAGTAAAATAATAGAAATAAATTAATGAAGTAAAATGAGTTCAAAGTTCAAACAAGTATCTTAAATACATCTATTGAGTTTAATTTATACTTCATTTCCCCCCATTTTGTTTCCTTCCCATTTTCCTCTCTATTTGCCTCCTATTTTCTTTGCTTGTATATTATGGGTTCCAAATAGATTCTAAATGAGCATGGAATTCAAAAGCAGGTACACCTAAAAGATTCAAGTGTCGTCATAGAGCGGGACAGATCATTCCGTGCTCTAAGGATGGTGAGAAAGCAACTCAAGGGTGTTGGATTCCGATATCGCCATCTGTCTTTAAACTCCGGGGAGAGAGTTACTTCAGGCATGTTGCTAATTATATCATTCTTGAAATAGACTATTTTTTGTTTCGGTGATAAATAGACTATTTTTAGCTTACAATTATTCTTTTTTTGGTGTAGAGATAAAAGGAAAGGGATTGCACCAAACTATTGTCCTTATGTCCCTTTTGGTGTTGATCTATTTGCTTGCTCCCAGAAGATATCTCACATTGCTCAACATCTTCAACTTCCTACTGTAGATCCACACGATAAAGTTCCATCTTTTCTTATCATTAATATACAGGTATACTCATAAAATGCTATAAAACCAGAGTTAAATATGTGATCTGTCTCACCTAAAAAGCTTAAATTGATTGCTCTATAATTACACACATACTTTATCTGGCCTACTCAATTGATTTAATTGGAGAAACTGTGTTTTAAATGTTGACAGCTACCTACATATCCTGCTTCTTTGTTCGCGGGAGATGGTGATGGAGAAGGATTAAGCCTCGTCTTGTATTTCCGGATATCAGAGACTTTCGATAAAGAGATTTCGATGCAGTTTCAAGACAGCATAAAGGTTATACTATATGACTTCTTTGCATTGGCATTGGCTCTTGCCGTGCTGCTCATACTTGATTTGTTTTATTAAATGTTATTATTCCACATCAGAGAGAAAGTTAAATAATATATATACGGAGAGTAAGGTTTGTATTTGAACATACTTTTGTTAGAGATTATAAATATTTGTATCTTTAAGTACATTGATACAAAGGGAAAGACTCCTACAACCCCTTCCTGGATCAACAGCTGTGATATAAAGTTTTAAGCTTTTTCTCAGTTTGGCGCAAACTTGAATATCAGTATTCAAGTGTTTTTTTTTTGTTTTCTGCAGAGACTTGTGACAGATGAGATGGAAACTGTCAAGGGATTTGCAAAAGATTCATCAGTGTCTTACCGAGAGAGACTAAAATTTTTGGTTAGTGTGGTTAATCATGAAGAGCTCCACCTAAGCACGGCAGAAAAGAAACTTGTGCATGCTTACAACAATAAGCCCGTACTTACGCGACCTCAACATGCTTTCTATAAGGTACATAGTACATTATATCGCAACGTCAACTTACTCGAAGCACTTTTTGCTTACATTCTTTTGTAAACTAAGAGCATGCATCTATAATATAAATAACTTTCAGGGTCCGAATTACTTGGAAATCGACATAGACGTTCATCAGTTCAGCTACATTTCTAGAAAAGGACTGGATGCATTTCGGGAGCGGTTGAGACATGGGGTACTTGATCTTGGGCTTACCATCCAGGTAAGAATGCTTTTCGCTTGAAAATGCTCATTGTCAAATACAACTTACCAATTCTTGGTTATTAATAGACCTGAAAATTGCGTTAAAGCCGCTCAACTCATCCGTAATGGACTAGACTCACATCTCAATAAGACTTTGAATGACCAATTTTGATCAGTACATTCAATGTTCTAGTTGAATGACCATATCCAATACCGAGTTCTACCTAATGCACATGCTAATACTTAACCATGCTATCATATTAAATATAATCATATACTCCGTAGTTTATATAATTCAACTTATTACAGCATGACTCACTTTTACATTTGGGGGTTAACAGTTTTTGTTCTATGAAGTTATTATGAGAAAGCTGAAAACTTGACAGTTTTTATTTTCTGTTCTCATTCTAGGCACAGAAGCCAGAGGAGCTGCCTGAGAAAGTATTGTGCAACATTCGACTGAACAGAATAGATTTTGTAAATAATGGCCAGATACCTCTATTTGCACCCGTATATGTGTAGTTAATTGGGGGTAAATAAGGTTATTAATAGTTGCATTATATTGTTATCAACCCACTACAAATTCATTGGAGGAGCCCCAGGAGGTGATTGATAAAATAATTGTATCATTATATTGGTCACATTTTGTGTAATTAGTCCTATACTCCTATTCGATAATGACGTGAGTGGGAGTGAAAACTGTCGAACTATGTAATAAATGACAAGGTCTGAGACCGATTCGGTTCTTATATAAAATTAGTGGAACCATTACAAAAAACTTAACCCATCAAATCGTTTCGGTTCCTATCTAAAATTTCAAGGACTGTTATGGAACTGAACCAATAGTAAACGGTTCGGTTTTTACTTTTATCGGTTCCTAATCATAAATTTTTGAGAGATTTCCCAAAATAGGAGTCAATGGAGTTTGAAATTCCAAAATAGAACTACTATGTTTTTATTCCCGAAATGAGACTAACATGACAATATTTACTGTCATCTTCTAGGCGTGACTGCCGAATAGTTGCAGTAAAGTGCATTTAACATGACAATATTTATTATAATTAATGACGGTATTTTTCATACATGACAGTAATAACTCCTATTTTGGGCAATTTCCCTAAATTTTTACACAAAAAAATTAACACAATTTACTTTCTACAACGCAAAAAACGTCGATAATTAAAAGCACAAGCAATAAGTACTTTTTGAAGCTCTTATCACTTCAAACATCAAGTCCAAACTTAATTTATTCAACACTTGATAGAATGAAATAATCTTTTAATTTTGTATGTAAATAAAATATGAATATCGTTGTTGTGTGATATCAATAAAAGTAGGGTCAACATAGTAGAATAAGACGTCTAATTCAAGTTTTTCAAAACGTAAGAAAACATATTCAATACACAACTAACACAAGTACAAAACATTACTACGTATTACATTTCAAATCCTAGGAGCATTATTTACACTAAATCTCAGCTCACAACTACAATCATCTTGAATAATATAAAGAAAAATATATTTAACCAACACGAATTAATTTGGTTTACTTTTATAATTATGAAACTTTCATGATGGAACAAAATATGATTTGTAAAAAAACGAGGTTAATGTATTCATCCTCATCAGCTTCCATCAATTAAATTTAAAATGTTGTGTGATAAACGAGGTTAATATCGATTATATTATTATTACTATTATTGTTATTGTTGATGTTAATATTATTATTGGTATACTATTATTATTACTATTTATACTTTCAAATTTTTTATTTTTTAATAATGGTTCATTAACGGTTACGTTCCGTGAACATATTTTTTGTAGGAATCAGAAACCGAACCGTTAACAAAGAATAAGAACCGAACCGTTAATTATTTGTAACTCATATGTAGAAACCGAACTGAACCGGAATTTAATGATTCGGTTCCAACAGTTTTCCGATCAGGTTCTTAGTTCCAAAGTCCCACCCCTAATAAATGTTGAAATGTCACAGTTTTTTCGAGCCAGGGTGTGTGGCGCCAGTGGGTAATTCCATCTCTTAAGTGTGCAAGTCCAACAGTTTTTTTTACGGAGTATATCTTTTATAATGATTTTGTACTACTATGTTGTGCTAGAACGTACATTATTTTCATTGAAGCAATTTTCGTCACATGAAGATTTTAAAGTTAAACAATAAAAACTTGGAATAAAATAAGAAAAAATTCATACCAAATCTAAATTTATATCACCCAATTATAAATAACATTGATACATTTATAAATAAAGCTCCAATCACTACAAAAAAACTCGCTCTTTGTCACGGATTTTGTCACGGACGGTAGTTCAAAAAATCCGTGACAAATGATTTTTTGTCACGGATTTGTCACGGAAAAAATCCGTGACACCAGGGGCGTGATAACGTTTTTGTCACGGAAATTAATCCGTGAGACTGTTTGTCACGGATTTATCACGGCCACCGTCCGTGACAAAACACTTCACCGGAACTCCATCGCCTTTTATTTGTCACGGCCACATCCGTGAATAAATTTTTTTATTTTTCAAAAAAATAATAATTATTTATCACGGAAATATCCGTGACAAATTAAAAAAAAAAGGTTTTTGAAATAGAGTGGGCAGGTATTTGAAACGATCTGAAAAATTCAAATTTTTAATTTTGTCACGATCTGAAAATCTAATAGTACACATTAAATAATTAACTAACATATAATACTAATTAAAGTTATTACGTTAATGGCATTTATTCACAATACTAAAGTTAACTAATTTAACTTATTAATTAGTTAATTTCCATTTAACTAATATTGTTAAATATCATTAATTCACAAAAATATATAATTCACACTTAACTAATAAAGTTTGAATCCTAACTTAAATCACTACAAATCCTAAATTATGCATTAACAATAACTAATATTTAAATCTAACTAATATTATCAACTCAAATTCTATATCCATTTCCTCAATGTTTTAACTTAGTTAATTAATTTACATTTAACTAATATTATTGTTAAATATTATCTCATTAATAATTCACAATAATAATTCACACTAAACTAAATAATAATAAAGTTTCAATCCTAGCTATATTATGCATCCCATTAACAATAATTGCTAATAAACAATAATTGGTGATAATAACGAACCTAAGCTAGCTAACTTAATTAAATCACTACAAGTCATTAATTAATTAATCTATAATAAGCTAGCTAATACTTAAATCACTACACATCCTAAATTATGCATTAATAACAATAATTGCTAATAATAAACAAACCGGCCTAATCATTGGTGATATAAACTCATTTCAATTAAATTTAACTTAATTAAATCACTACAAGTCACTATTTAATTAAATTACGTTAATAGTTTAATAATATATTGTTAATAATATGAAAATTAACATGACCTCACTAAATTACGTTAATAGTTTAAATAAATGAACAACTAACCTCACTAATTAATTAAGCTAATAATTAATTTATTACACAATTAAAAGAAATTAGTTAAAATGACATACCTTATCTGCATAAACTGGGAAAATGATGAACTGACGGATTACATCATTCAATCTTTAAACCGATACTACATCACTCGAATCTACGAATTTTTGAACTGATAAGTGTTGTTCTTGCAATTGTAATGGACGATGGGGTTGGGTTATATAAAAAAAATTGTCACGGATTTGTCACGGATTAATCCGTGACAACCCTTTTTTCGTACTGTATTATTAAAGGTTACCGCTGGAAAATCAATAATTGAAGTTTGTCACGGATTTTGTCACGGATGGATCCGTGACAAAGTTTTTTTGAAATTTGTCACGGATTTGTCACGGATCTGTCCGTGACAAATGCCCGGGAGCAAAAAAAGTATTCACCGGAGTAAAAAACCGGTCGCCGGAGTAAATTTGTCACGGACCAAATCCGTGACAATATTTTGTCACGGATTTTGTCACGGACCTATCCGTGACAACACATTTTCGTGACAAATCCCAATATTCCGTGACAAAGCCCGTGACAACTTTGTCACGGCGGTAATCCGTGACAAAAATCCGTGACAAAGAGCGAGTTTTTTTGTAGTGAATGTAGTCGCATTAAACGTTAAAATCCTGCGGTTACAAATTGGTTGATCTACATGAAAATCATGAGCCCGTTTGGTATCATGAAAATCGGCTGATTTGGTTGATCCTGCTGAAATTTATGAAGTTCTGGCTGAAGTGGCTGTATTGGCTGATTCTGCTGATTTAAGAAAAAAATATTTTCAAAATATATTTTATTAATAAAATAAAGAAAAAATTATATTTAAAAATAGCTAAAATGATCATCTACAGTAACTTCAGCCAATACAACCACAAAAGTAACTCCAACATTACTTTTTCTGCTTATTACACAATTCAGCGCGCAAATGTAAAAGTTATGTGTTTGGTGAAAAAGTTAGCTGATAACTTTGATAAGCCGAAAAACAGTGTTGCCAAACGACCTCCGTATATGTTAAAAAAGAGATTACTCCACGGAAGTGCATTCCAAAGTAAAACTTGGTGCATCACAAATGCTCAATGTGGATTTTGTGTGTTGTGAGCTCAAGAAATTATAATGGAGATTCATGATCGTCAACCATAACGAGGAGTACTAGAGACTAGAGAGGCCCTATCATACAATACAAGGAAGAATTAGCTACGTTATAAACATGAGGAAAATACATTTTCGTACTAATTTTGTCAAAGGACCAAATAAAATATAACTCCGTATAATGGTTATTGAAACATAATGAAACAATAAATTGAAGACTCACAATAAAATATTACTCCGTATAATGGTTAAACAAATGATATGCATTGTATTTTATGTACTTTTAGTAGAGTAATGTAACAATTACCACAATAAAATCAATAAGTGAAATAAAATGGTAATCATGTTGCATCACTAACTCTTGATAACAAGTCCAAAATTTTGCATTGGTGCGACACTAGCTTTTTCTTTAGTTTTTTATTTAAATTTTTTGTTAGTGACAAATAACTAAATATTATCGATGAGACAAAAGTTAAGATGTTGCAATTTTGCAAAGTGTTGGCTACAATGAGACCCACTTATTAAAAGTCATTATTATGGTGTTTGTGTTGGTAGTAGTTGAGAAAAAAAAAATTTAAAATGATTTTAAAAATTATATAAAAAAACAAAGTTTTGTATATAAAAAAACAAAATGTTAACAAAGTTAGGGGTGTTTGGAACTGATTCTGCTTCTGCTTCTTTTTTAAAGCAGAAGCAGAATTAGTTTTCAGAAACTGGTATTCCCCAGCTTTTAAAAAAAAACTGACTCTAGAAGTAAATTAGAGCACCAGAATCACTACTGCATTTTCACCCAAACACTCCAACTTCTGCTTCTGCTCACTGAAGGAGCAAAAGCAATTTTAAGAATCAGACCCAAACACCCCCTAGTGGGACGGAAGGAGCAAGAGATGAAGAGATCATAAAATCTGATTATAATGTGGAATAGAATAACTTGAGCCTTTCTAATACCACCAACCAATAATATAATATTCTTTTCTTCATGATTTAAATTTTCCAATTTGAACGGCAGACATTTTTTAAAAATAGGATTTTTCTTTATGTTCTTCACATATCCATTTAAATGGATAAATTTTTATTATAGAATACACTATTTTAATTGATTGACTTTAAGAAGCATGTATCTAATTTGAGCAACATGTCCCTTATTTAAGGATAGAGAAATAATTCCGGATAGGAACGCCGTCCGGACGGAAGCGTTTGGGTGTTTTCTCGGTGGAATTTTTTGATGCAATTTTTTGGACATATTCTTCATCTAGTCTTGTTTATCCACAAAAAAACTAAAATTTCAATCCGGAAGACAGTCAAATAATTTTTGGAAGATAACTGTGTTTTTATATGTGACAGCCTTCACGATTGAATTTTTAGCTGATTTTTTTTGTGAATAAACTAGATTTGATGAAGAATATACCAAAAAAATTCTTGAAAGGGTTCTGGCTAGGAAGGTCTGATCAGGAGATTACTCCTTAAGAATATCCCAAAAAGAAAATGGATTGTTTTCTAAGGAATGAGGAAATAGAATCCGGAGAATAGCATCTGCTGGGTCGGGTCTGGATCGGTTTCCGAGTCAGCTCGGACCTAACCTCAATAGCATCTTTTGTTTATCTTTTATCCACCCCGACTTTCTCATTTGGTCGATCAGGTGAAGCTCAGAAGCTGAAAGTTTGAAGCAGCTCGGACCTAACCTCAATAGTCTTAGCACAGGTCCAATATGGAGCAGCGGAATTCCAAACCCATTCGCTGCATAGTCAAACTCGGTTGGGATTCTTTACACAATCGATTATCTCCAAATTTCTTTTTTTTTTTGATGAAAATTATCTCCAAATTTCTGACTATATTTATAGCTGTTTCTATGCATTCCAATTCAATCGACTGAAGTAATATCCCTAGTTCTACTTGCCCGGTCTAACATTAGGCAAATTCAAAGGATATGTTATGCTTTACAAAATGTAAAGCATAGTTGCTTATAACCACAGAAGTGAAGTATCTATATTCTGTATTAGTAGCTTTTCTTGGGATCAAAACTAGCTGAATTGGAAATAATACCATAGTTGAAACTGAAGCTCTTTTAGTTGCTTATAACCACAGACGAATATTTTGATGAATTTGGATAAGTGTCATTATCATGACATTTGTAAGTTGTAACTAAACCATGTAGATAAAAATGGTATCAATTCACATGCCAATACATAAGCTTGTTTGTGAGACACCCATACCAACAAGTCATTAACCTACACATATTACAGGTTACAACAAAAATTTGGCATCCTGCTACTGCCATCATCGATATTTAGTTTATTACTTTATTCTCATTATAATGTCCCAATTTTCTATTTGTATGTCACTCTACTCACCTAACTTGTTATCGACTTAGATATATTGCTATGTAGTATGTACTTTCTCTGTGCTGCTAGCTTTGTCTCATCTTTCTTTTTTGTCCGTCCTACTAAGTTGTCTCGCGTCATATTTGGTAATTTTGGTGTGGTTCGGATTCATTCCATACTTAACAAATTCAATATCAAGTGCGTCACTTTCTTGTGTCCTAAATATATTCTAATTTGGGTTGTATAAGCTTTTCTGATCATATACATATCGTAATATAAGTTGAATTTCGCAACACATAAATGTCATTGTCATGCCATTTATAACTAAATCCTATTTAGATAAAAATGACATATCTACCACACATGGTACTATATAGAGAAAATTCCCTAAATAAGACTAAAATAAGGATAAAGTTCATAAATTGGACTATCATTGTTTTATTCCCAAAATAGGACTCATTCACTCCTATTTTGGGAAGTTTTAATCAACTAATTTTTTTAATAAGACTTAATAAGTCCTATTCAGGGAAGAAAATATACTTGCTCCTATTTTAGAACTTTGTGTATCATTTAGTCCCACATTGAGCAATTTCTATAATGTATATAAGCTCATTTCTGAGTCACCAATCCCTACAACCTGAACATATTACTTCTATAAAAGTCACTCGCGTATATCCTCAAAATGACCTCTTTATTATAAAAGTCATTTGTCTTAAAACTATGCGAGTCTAGTGTAGAAACCCAATTCTAGCTTGGAATTCTAATACTTCCATCACTGATACATTGATCGATGCCATTCTTATCTACGGTTTGACGGCATCCTAACATTATTATCATTGCAACATGTTCTTTCTTATTTCTGTCAAGAACAAAAACTAAATAGTCAAAATTAAAATTATGTAATCATTGATGGAAATGTGAATCAACCCAATGCTAACAACTCGTGGAAACTAAGGTAATGGTGTAACCTCCCAAAATAAACGGTTTTATGAAAGAAAATGAGACATGGTCAATATAATGGGAGGGTTTTATGATAAGATGTAGCTGGTAATTTTTTCTACAATATAAACGTTGCCCTTGGGGCATTTTAGGCATAGAAAATTCGGACATCTCAAGAAGGACCATATTACCTCTCTCTTTAGGGAAAATTGGAAAAACATAGATGCTCCTATTATTACACTTTGCCAATGATTTACTTCTGTGAGGGGCTCCGTATGAATCTTTATACAATAGAATAATAAAATATTCCTTAATCAGTTGCATCTTTTGGATGTTCAAGTATATATGATACATTTTTTTCTTTCTGTAACCTCAGGAGGAGCAGCCATTACATGTAAAAATGAGTTAGAAACCATACACAAGGAGAACCTAATAATAGTTTCATCACAGCTCAGGCAGACTTTGATGTCTGGTTCTGCTTCTTCGAGAGTTGTCGGGATGGACTGGAGTAAAAGGATTGGGTTCTCTGAACCACCACTTCTTGAAAGCGATTGTAGTGATCAACCAGTTGTTGATTCTAAGACTTTTGTTGTTGTTCACGGGGCAGGTCAGTTGTCTTTTTATTGAAAATTAATAAGTGGCCTCAGGTTACACTTTAGTACATTCTTGTATGAATTTCAAAATTCAAATAGGAGTAAAACATTTCACAGTTTTGTGCTAAAATTATGACTCATTCCGTCCTAAAAGAAAGTTAACAATTCTTCTTTTAGGATTGAACTTCTCACTTCTTCAGGAAAAATAATGATAATTCAATTTGAATTAATGGGGTTGTTTGGATTTCAGTGGTTTGTGCCCAATCCGCTGCAAATAGCAGCGTTTTGCTTTGTAAAAGAAATGGCGGTTTGCTCCACCCGCTGAAATCCAAACAGGCTCAATGTGTTTACATTTAGTCTGTTATGGAATTTCCCTCATTCTTAGTCTATGAAATGGAAATACACTTATAGTAGAAAAAGATTTCTTCGATGATAATACCATTAGTTTCCAATTTTTCATTCATTTATGGTGGAGGTGTATTAAGGTTCTTTTGGGCACTTCCAAGCAAGCAAATCTGGCGTGCATAAAGGTGGGTTGGGCAAACCTATTGTCAAGGCTGGTTTTGTTGCTACACGAATTTCGGTAATGTTTTGTTTGGATCTTCATGTTATGATAATACCATATTACCATTAGTTTTGTATATTATAATGTTCTGTCTTGGATTAAGAGCCCACCACAACATAGCTACAGAATTTATTATTTTATCTCAAATATTTATTCTTCTTTTGCATCAAGTGTAGAAAGTTTTGACTTTCACTTTTCTCTTGTGTGCCTCTGTAATGAATTAGGTTACATCTCTCAATCTTGAAGTTGTCAGAGCTTTAGCAAGAGGTACCACTGCTAATTTTCCAGCTTAATTAACTAAAAAAAACACGTCTTACTGAGGAACACTCTTACTAATAGTTGTGTTTTCTTACAGAGGGTATTCCTTCTATTGGAATGTCTCCATTCTCGTGCGGGTGGTCAACTTGTCAAAGAAATGTTAGAAGGAAACTACAGTTCATTGATTCATTGTGTCCATTAAACAAACGATCATCTTTTATTATTTCTTGAGTTGTATAATGCTTTTTTGTGTTAATAGATGGTTATAGCTAGCCATGAATTAGTTAGTCAAGGGTAAAGAACTTACACATATCTACAGATGGAAGAAGCTGAAATCTCAATGGTGATTAATGCTATTGATGCTGGTTTCATACCTGTAAGTTTTCAACTCTTTATATAAGCAACACCTGCTTTTCATTTTGCTAATTTCATATAGTATGATTTGCCTATCAAATATCTCAAGTAATACATTATTAATAGGTATTTTCACTAATTTTTAGGTTTTGCACGGAGATGCAGTCCTAGATAGTTCACAGGTTTGGACCTTGATATATTAATTGGTCAGCTGACAAGGTATGGACATTGATGTCTCTATATGTATGCAGGAATGCACCATATTGAGTGGGGATGTGATCATACACCATTTGGCAGCAAAGTTGAAGCCAGAATATGTTGTTTTCCTTGTATCCTTCAATTTTTTTAGAATTCGAGAATTTTGCTTTCTGTTCGTCCTTATCAGTGATATTCATGAGGAAAATATGTTCTTTGACATCAGTACTACATGTTTATCCTTGATGACGGTTTAAATAATTTATAGACAGATGTTAGTGGCGTATATGACCGCCCACCTACAGACCCTGATGCCGTACTTCTTCAAGAAATTGGTGAGACTTTAATTTATTTATATGTGAGATGTAAACTTTCTAAGCTAATTAAGACAAATTGTTGTGTTCAGAATATCCGAGTTACGAGCAATGTTTTTTGTTCTTTTTTTTGTTTAGATTCAAATTTAATTTATTTATTTTGTTCAGAATATTCAGTTTTTTTCTTGTACCGAAACAATGATGGCCAAATATAATCACATTCAGAATTTCAGATTCAATATTTACTTAAGTTCATAACCCATAAGGTACATCAAGGCGAATAAGAGCACACAATGTGAGTTTGTACACAAGACTTGGAGTTCCATCCTACTTCGTAATTGATAAGAGTAGTATAATACATCTTATATGTTAATTTGTATTTTATATGTAGTCAGTATGAGATGCCTTAACAAAAATCCACAAGCAATAGTCATTTAGGTGAATAACAAATCAACTTTTACAGATGTGTGCGAAGACGGGAGCTGGTATGTGGTGAAGCCAGCATTAGTAGGTGCAAGCAAGCCCGGTAAAGTCAAATTGGCATTTTTGTTAATACGTAGTACTGTAGTATATATTACTTCAGAGATGCCATTTTTGGGGATTTCCTAGTAACAAAGATGAAATTCTTCAACCTGGAATCAGAATTTACTGTAGCTTCCCATGACACAACTGGTGGTATGGTTACCAAAATATCTGAAGCTGCAATGATTGCAAAACTGGGAATTAATGTATTCATTGTAAAGGTGCCAATTGCTTCGACATACACTTACCATTTTCTTCTCTTTTCAAGTAATCAGTTCTCTGAGTTGCCCCTCAGTTAATTGGATTATTCTTTTTATTTTATTTTCAATTAGGTGGGAACTGAACATTCACTCCGTGCATTAGATGGGAGTCTCATGGGCGAAATTCCCAACGATTGGCTCGGAACAGCTATCCGACGTGTAAGATAGAAGATGCCAATCTAAATGCTTTTCAGTTCATAATGCAATATTATCCTAAGCCGTTTGGGTTGAGCTACATGATGTAGCCGTAATGGAGACTAGGAGAAATGGAGAGAATATGGGGAAATTTTGAAAACTTTGGGGTAATTTGTTTTTTTAATTGCCCTGCATACATATCATGATATCGTTATCTTTTGCAGCACTAGTTTTTAGGACAAAGGTGGAATGATGCTCAAAGTCTCTAGTTCGACTGTTTTCTACTCCAATAGTCAAAAGAAAAAGGAAATCCAAACAGTGCTTTAACATCATAGGAATATAAAACAAAGCTTTGTTGTGAATTTCACAATTGTGCTTGGAGTAAACAGCCAATCAGACCGAATTCTGATACGGGCAACCAAATACGATAAGTTTACAACTAGAACAACATCATCACAACATGATTCCAAACTATAAAACACCAACTATTTTGGGGACTTATTCATATATTATGAAGATATAATAGTATAAGAGTCTTCAACAATTTGGGTTCAGACTTCAGAGTGACACTGAAGTGATCTACTTGCTGAGATCCTTGAGACCACAAATCTGCTCCTCGCCCATGGCAGACATGACAGACACAATAATGTCCTTGCCATCTTCGAATGCGCTCTTTATCTGTCCACAATTCATTCAGGGTAAAGACGTATACGCACAAGTGTCATGGCAGCATTGATGGAAAATCGACATTGTATTTGGTGATACTAAAACATGAGTTTGGGACATTGGAAAAGCTCAGGGTGTCATCCAGTTCTTTCTTGTTAAGAGTTGTTCAGACACCTAAACTGCTACAGTATATTATCACCATGTATGTGCTAATATAGCCAATACAACATGCACTAACCTGACCACACAGTGTTTCATCAGTTGGAAGCCTGAGATCATCCTTAGTATTACCTTTCTCATCAAGCAGGCTTACCTGTTCAAGACTAATATATTACTCCATACTAAACAAACAAACAAAATAGCAAATCTATCAAGGAAAACTGGGAACATACAAATCCATCTTCAGAAATGTCAATGAGCTGGTAATCTGCACGGTTCACATGGGGGACCTTCAATTAAGAAATTATTAGATTCTGAACAACTTGAGGGAAACTTCATATTCAAAGAAGAAAAACTGTAGAGGGCATACATCGCAGTTATGTGAAGATGGAACAATATCCTCGAGCTTCTTTTCAGTGAAAATGTCAATTGCAACAAAATGACATTTAGCATGGCCATGCTTTCCTGTCTTGGATGTTGAAACTTCCACTACCTTTACCAAGTGCGGCATATTAAGTAAGAATTAAGAACAAGACAGAACTAATAACACGAGAACAGTATTGAAGAGAGATTACATTATTATGGATTATACAAACCCAAAATAGAGCGATACCATAAACAATACGAACTGAATCCTACAAAAGATGTTGGTCCATATAATCATATTCATATCATCATATGGACTGGATTGGATTTTTTTTAGGGAATGGATTGGGTTACTCAGTCTGTCCTATTGGGTACTCAAGTTAAGTCAAACTACAAGACATTCGACCAAACTACATTAAAACATTGAATTCTATCGGTTGGCTAGTGCAACTTAATGTATTTTTAGTGCATGGTTAGGCTATGACCGTATGAATAGTTTGGCCTCCATTTAAACATTGAATTCCATTATTTAATACCAAATTTTAAGAAATATTAACATTAGGGGTTCTATTCTTAAAAGCTAATCCTCCTTCGTTTCAATAGCATTTTTCATATTTGGTCTCTCCCCCAATGTTTTAATTTGTTTTTAATATTTGGCCAATAGAAGATGACATACTGTAGCAAGATGTTAGTTTTTAGAGCAAGACTTGAGTGAATGGCTCAAATACCATGTTAAATTTTTAGATAGGAGTACATAGTAAGAATCAAGTTTAACCTAATACTCCATAGTAAGTATATAGGATTCTTAAATTTGTATATACTTACTATAAGGTTGAACTTAATTCTTACTATGTATCTTAAAATTTAACATTGTAACCAGCATAGTAATAAAAGAGCAATCCTATACATGATGAGCTTGCGAGTATAATTTACCCAAAGCAAAATAGATGATCAAAAGTTCAAGTATGGGATCCACAATTCATAAACAAACATCAAACCACTTTATGCAGCCATACACTTATATCAATTAACGTAAGAAGAAGGCGAGAGAAAGACCTTGCAAGGGCGGGTTTTTATGACAATGTAACCGTTTTTGCGGATAGTACCAGCCTGCTGAGGGTAGGTCTTGGAAGCACCGGCGTCGGCCTTAGACTCGAACTGGTGTTCCTCGTCCGACATGGTCGCCGCCGTCTCCGAAGTTCGACCCGGCGAGTTTTCCGAGATAAGGGGCCGTGGGCGAATGAAGCAGTCAGAAGCGAGAGATAGAATGCGACCGAGCGCGTGCGAGCGTGTATATATTGCTTGATGACGGTCTTGTGCCCCGTTTGGGTATCAAAGTAATTTACACGTGATGTCTATTTAGCCATTGGATCTTCCAAATATGTACCGTCCTATAAAATTTTTCGCATTTTGACTTGACACGGAGATTAAAAAAGTGGAATAAAGTGAAAATATATCGTTGTGGTTGTGTAAGAAAAATGTAAAATGAATGTGAACCACACAAATTGTCCAAAAATAATAAATGGAAAGAACTTTTTGGGACGATCCAAAAATGAAAGTGAGAAGAATTTTATGGGACAGAGTGAGTAATTATTTGGGAATTTCGTTTTTTTTGGCGTTGAAATGACGCACTGTATTCAGTATTCCACACAAAAAAGAACTCCTTTGAATTATTGCCTTTAGCAAACTATAATAACAACGAAACCTTTGGTTCGAATTCTACTGGGTTTTAACTTGAGGTTATTATTATATTATATTTATATATTTATAAAAGAAAACTTCGGTTATACGATGAAAACTTAATATCTTTAAAATTTTGATCAATTATATATTGTTATTGAAAATTATTTATAATATAAAATTGATATAAAAATATTCTTTGATAGAAATATTTTTATAAAGTATAATTTTATGATTTTCATAATATTATATTAAAATCCAAACAGATGATTAAGTATTTTGGAACGGAGGTATTAAAAGTATTTTGGTGACAAGAACAATTAGATTTTTGGGAAGGCTAATATAGTAATTGGTGTCAGGGGCGGCTCTAGGGGAGGATAGGGGGCGTGTGCCCTAGGTTCCAAGAAAATGAAAAAAAATAAACGCAAGTTTAGTTCTTTATAATAGGTATGAATAGACTGATTTTTCAGTCCTAAACTAATAACATTTTGAAGTCCTTCCGATGGATTTGTTTAATATAAATTTATGAGCATTTTCACTATAAAATGTAGATTATGTCCAAAAAAATTAATTTAAAATTCAATATACAAGTGCACAAACATCGCAGGAGGAATTTAGGAGTTGGTAATAATTAAGTCAATTCCTTAAATAAAACTAAAACATTGATAAAGTGCATAAACAAGACCCCTATTGTTTCCTTCCTAATGGACCATTTTAATATTTTGAAACACCACCACCACCACCACCACCATCATCACCACCACCACCACCACCACCATTACTATTATTATTATTATTATTATTATTATTAGTATTTATATTAGTATTATTATTATTATTATGCATGTTAGTTTAGATAGAAAAAGATTTTACATTTTTAAAATTAGGCTTATTTTAATTTTTCGTCCCTAGGCCTTCAAACATATTATACCCGCCCTGATCGGTGTAGTAGGGAAAGGCCGAAGGGGTTCCCTTCCTCCAATTTTCTTTTGATATGTATCATGTATATACTCCGTACAATACATGTAAGTACATCTATTTTTCTTAATCTCCGGCTCCCCTAATACTTCATAGTTCATAGTAAATGGGAAATTACACGAAATAGAAGTACACATGTTTTGAAATTCCAAAATATGATTATTGTGTTTTCCCTTTTTTTTGGAAGAATTTGACTTAAATTGAAATCCCAACATTGAGACTATGGTTAATCCGACAAATAAAATCCAGACAACCGCTGTCCCGCGAACCAGACTCAGAGTTAATCACCTCACCAGAAGCAATGTAACCCGCTAATCCATTAGTGGGCACAAATGAGCCATAAACGGTTACCCCAATTCCAACATCCAAATCCGATGTCTTACAACCGTGAAAAACAACAGTAACACCAAACAGAAAACAAACTGAAAAGTCTGAGAAAAAATAAAAACTAAATTTAAAAAGATAAACTTCCTCCCAATCTGCTTGCTTTGCATCTTCATCAACAATCCTTTCTTCAGGCTCTGAACAATTTCAGTCGGGCTTACTGCTCGAAGCCCGCCTCCTCCACGTTTTTTGCCCCATCTAGTGCCATACTTTCCTTCTCTTGCATCTCATTCCCCTGTGTCTCCCAGAGCCTCTTGCGCTTCTGCTCTCCTGATGCCTCCTCCTTATTCTCTCCTCTTGCGCCCTTTGTAATACTCTGTTCTGAATCCGCCCCCAAATCCTTCCCCCCGTTCCTCATCCTATCTCCCGAGGTGGCTCCCTCCCCATACCTGTGTTCCTGCCAGAGCTCGATGAACCCTCCAGTAACCACTGATTGCCTCGTGTAGGGCTCGTCTTCCCCCCACTACCTGCTCGAAGATGAACTCCATACTTTGTCCATCACTAGATCTTCTTCATAGATCAAGTGACAAAATTTGTCAAAGTGTCCAATTAGTCCACAGATAAAGCAGAAGTTTGGCAACTTCTCATATTTGAAATCTACCCAATACCTTTTGCCATCCTTCTTCAGGTTTGTACCCCTTTTCAGAACTTTCTCCACATTCATACACACGTATTCTCATATATGCCTCCCATTTGTCACTGTTCTGATTATCATCATATTTTATAAACCTACCTATCAAATTACCAACATTCCTAGTCGTACCTAAATTAACCAGACTATACAGCACATTATGGACCTGAACCCAGAAGTCTGCCTCATTTAGAACAATTTTGTGAGGGATATCATCAGGTCTAACTTCTTTTAACAAGAGTAAATTTAAGAAGTCAGGGATATCAGCACGGTCCACCATCCACAACCCGGTTCATATCTAAACGGTGATAACAAGTGAATAGGTACCTTTTCTCCCCGACTTCTTTCACGGAGAGGCCTTTTCCTGGTCTCCACAGCGACGCCATCGTCTCTTTGACTACCGGGAAACGGATCTTACGATCTGTCAACAAAACCCCAACCACCGGATATCCCGGCTTGCTTTCCTCCTTCGGTTCCTCTCCCTCCTCCGTATCATCAAGGTCCAAGTCGTCTTCCTCCTCCGTCAGTGCCATCCTTTTGTATTTGTCCACCACACTTTCCATGCACCCGATTCTTCTTCTTCGTACACTCGGAACAGACGCCGCACGAAATTACTCCCCAACTTGTTCAGCAATCGAAACAACGAAAATTGGACAAAAACCAAAAGCCACCACCGACGCTTCGTAAGCGAAGCTCGGAAGTAAAATCTCGCTATGCTCGGTTGCCGGTACGAACTAGGCAATAGACCGGCGGCGGCGGAAGTACCTAGGCGTTACCGGCGGGTAACCCTAGAGAGAAAAACTTTTGTTTAAATCTAATAAAACGTTTTATTGTGTTTTCCCTGATGAAATAGGAGTCATTAATGTCATGATGGAAGAATATTGTTAGCAGTAAAAACCGTAATGTTAATACTTAGTACTGCAAGTTAATAACGCCGAATGAGTCAACTCTTTTTAAAACTCGGCACATTGATTAAATATATTGAGACTTTTAATTAATGTACTTTGTTATTTTTCGGGTTCACATTATTTAATGGGTAGGTTTTTATTATTTGGGTTAAAAAGATTATTTTGTTAATGTAATTGTAAGAACTTTTTCAATATTTTTGTTCAAATGATTTAATGGGTCCATTTTGTAAAACGCGTGCTTATTTAATTGAATGGGTCATTTTTTTGTAAAACGCGTATTCATGAGCGAAATTCGGGGGGGTGTGAAATGCCTATTTTATTTTAATGACAATATTGTACAATTTTTACTTATGTTGAATAACTTGTAATTTCTAACAAACACAAACAATTTCTTTCAAATAAAAAATCTAAGCCATCAAAACAAAACAAATAACAACCACAAAAAAAAAATAACAACCACAATTGAGCATGTAGGGAAGGCAAATAAATACAAGCTCATTTCCAATAGTGGGTGTAAGGTGTACGGCTATTCTATAAGAAGACAAAAAAAAAGTAAAAAAAAAATAAATGAATTCGGAGGAGTGAAATCCGAAAGTGGCTGACACACCTGCAGAACAAATTTTCGGACCTGCCAACTCTGTTTTGCTTTATTTGAGAAAAAAGAAAAAAAATTACGCTATTTGGAATAAAATGTTAGAAAACTACACTAATCCGTCAAATACCCCATTTTCCACCCGAGTAAAAGCTAAATTGTTAATTATATACGCTATGTAGAAAGTAGAAACAAGGTGTATCTTTATCTTGGAAAGAAACAGAGTGCATCTTTAGTTTTTTATTATTTGCCTACATTATATGTAGGAGGTACTCTCTAATCCTGCCTATGTAGGAGGTATTCGTTAGTTAGTTCATACTTCATAATAATTTAATAAAAACAAGAGTTTCAGCTAATCGAGTTCCAGCAGCTAAAAAGATAAGCTTAATAACATTTTTGCTCTTCTTTAGATTCTTTGGTTTTTTAATGAAATATTCTCATCTTAGCAATTTAAAACCATTACTGATGTTTCATTGTTTCGTAATGTATTTGTGGAGTTTATGGAAAAATTGAAGTGAAACATTGTGGAATGCCAGGTTTGCTTCTGCTGCACGTGTGAATAATGAACCTGCTCTTTTTCTTGAAGGCTGGCATTGAGCCCAACAACAGCAAAAAACAAGAGAGCAAAGGGAGCATGGATTGTAGCTTTTAAAAATTGTTTGAATGCAGCTACTTTAGTAAGTTTGAATATCAATATCAGGTCAAACTAAACAAGTTGGATGTCTAGCAAACACAGGTATTTCATAAATATCATTGATGGATAGTGTACCCGGGGGTAATTTTTTCGAGGGATATTATAAGAATATCAAGAGAGAGGTCAGAGCAATAAGTAAGAGAGGGGGAGAGTAGGTGTATATTATAAATGAGCTTAAGATTCAGATCTGGGATCCTTTACAATGAAGAAGGGGTTAGCTATTTATAGCAGCCATAGATGTTAGGTGCAATAAGTGAGGGTACACGTGGTAAGTAATCAGCGGCGGAGAGTCGACTCAGCCAGGGTGGCGTCGACGCAGCACGTGGCACCGCATTCAATGCGGTGGTTGGAGTCAACTCCGCATTTAATGCGGTGATTTAGAGCATGTGGAGAGGAGATTCTGTCGAGGAGAGTGCCCTCGGCTACAAGCACCCGAGGCTGCATGTGCTGAAGGCTATGTATGAGCTGAAGGCTGCTTGTGCCGAAGGACGTACGTTCCCTGGGGGCTCATGTGCTGGAGAACGTACGTCCCATGGGGGCTTCCATGTGCTGGAGGACGTACGTCCCCTGGGGGCTTCCATGTGCTAGAGGACGTACGTCCCCTAAGGGCTTCCATGTGCTGGAGGACGTACGTCCCTTAGGGGCTTCCATGTGCTGGAGGACGTACGTCCCCTGGGGGCTTCCAAGTGCTGGAGGATGTACGTCCCCTAGGGCCGTACGTAGCTGGAGAGGACCGTCATGTGCTAGAGGCCGTACGTAATTGGAGCTCTTCATGTATTAGAGGCCGTACGTACCCAGGGCCCTTCATGTGTTGAAGAACGTACGTCCCCTGGAGCCTTTATGTTCTGAAGGACGTACGCCCCTGGAGCATTCAGGGCCCTTGTTTGTTGTGTTTGGGCCGCTCGGGCTTGTTGGGCTTGATTGTAGTAGTGGAAGTATGTGGATTGGGGGTTCTTGGGCCATCAACTCCATCAGGAGTCCCCCACTCCTTTTGCCGAGAGCTTCTCAAGGGAAATAGGAGTAAGTGTTGTGAAGTCGCTGGTGGCTGCCTTGCTGTAGCTGTGAAGTATTGACAACTTTGCGTTTGCGTGTTTTGCTGAGGGCAGTCCCCCAGTCCCCCATATTTTGAGACTGGAGGCTTTTGTTGATGCTTTGCAAAAACTTTTAACTTTTAGTGATTTCCCGAAAGGGTTCCCCAGTCCCCCACTCCTTGAGGCACATGTAATGAGATGAAAAGGAGTAGAGCAATGCATATCTTCCAGAGGGGGCCGAGGATCGACACCTTTTGATTCACAATAGGGAGATGCCTCGTTAAAAACCTCATTAGGAAAACCCTGTGGGAAAAAATCCTAATGAGGGAAAAAGAGTACACCGGATGCCCCCAAAATGAAGCAAGAGGGGTGAGCCTTTCGGTCTGGGTGTGGGGCTAGAGAGGTGTCCGTCTGTTGAGGAGATGCTAGTCTGAATATGAGGACGAGGCGATGGACGCCCGTTTGATTATGAGGACGAGGTTGTAGACCTTCGTCTGAATATGAGGAAGATGGTGGTGGATGCCTGTCTGGATATGGAGACGAGGCGATGGACGTCCGTCTGGATGTGAGGATGAGGCGATGATGAAGCCGACCGTCATATAAAGGCGATGGTCACCATCAAGGAAGGGATGGCGAGCCCAATCGATAGCTCAAGACGCTCGGTGCTGGGGAAGCCGGTCTTGAGACATAGGACCACGTCGAGGCTGGGAGGCCATTCGTGATTTGAGGACGTTGGTGCTGATGAAGTCGACCATCATGTAAGGGCGATGGTCACCATTCAGGAAGGGATGACGAACCCAATCGCTAGCTCAAGACGCCCGGCGCTGAGGAAGCCGGTCTTGAGATACGGAATCATGCCAAGGGGCAGTGAGGACGACGGCCAGTAAGGAGCTATCTGAGGACGACAGCTAGTGATGGGCCGATCGTCGTATATAGAATCACGTCGAGGCTGAGGTGCCGTTCGTGATGTATGGACGTCAACACTGAGAGGCCGATCCAAAGTCCAAGCAACGGTCCTCATCCATAAAGTGAGAGGATGAGGTCGCTCTTCAAAGTATGATGACCACGTTGAGACCGAGGGGGTCTGCCGTGTCGATACAGAAGATCACGTTGAGACCGAGGGGTCTGCCGTGATTTGAGGACGTACGGCGATGAGGATCCGGTCCTGCAATATGGTGATGAGGCGATGATGAAGCCATTCTTCGTATAAGCTCAAGACCCTCGACGCTGAGGAAGCCGATCTTGAGGTAAAGGATCACGTTGAGACCGAGGGGTCTGTCGTGATCTGGGGAAGAACGGCGTTGATGAAGATGTTCGTCACGTGAAGGCGAGGGTTGCCATCCAGGAAGGGAATGGCGAGCCCACTCGCTAACTCAGGACGCTCGGTGTTGAGAAGGCCAATCTTCAGATAAATGATCACGTTGAGACCGGGGGGTCTGCCGTGATCTAAGGACGTACAGCGATGAGGAACCGGTCCTACAATATGATGGCGAGGCGACGATGAAGTCGTACGTCATATAATCTCAATACTCTCGACGCTGAGGAAGCCGGTCTTGAGGTCTAGGATCACATTAAGACTGAGGGGTCTGTTGTGTTCAGGGGACGTACGACGAAGATGAGCCGGTCAAAATAGATGACGACGAGGCGTTGATGAGGCCGATCGTCATGCAAGCTCAAGACGCCCGACGCTGAGGAGGCCGGTCTTGAGATAAAGGATCACGTTGAGACCGAGGTGTCTGCCGTGATCAGGGGACGTACGGCGATGATGAGCCGGTCCTATAACATTATGATGAGGTGATGATGAAGCCGATTGTCATGCAAGCTCAAGACTCTCGGCGCTGAGGAAGTCAGTCTTGAGACAAAGGATCACGTTGAGACCGATGGGTCTGCCGTGATCAGGGGACGTACGACGATGATGAGCCGGTCCTATAACATTATGATGAGGCGATGTTGAAGTCGATCGTCATGCAAGCTCAAGACTCTCGGCGCTGAGGAAGCCGGTCTTGAGACAAAGGATCACGTTGAGACCAAGGGGTGTGCCGTGATCTGAGGACGTACGGCAATGAGGAGCCGGTCGTAAAGGATCACGTTGAGACCAAGGGGTCTGTCGTGATCAGGGGACGTACGACAATGATGAGCCTGTCCTATAACATTATGACGAGGTGATGATGAAGTCGATCGTCATACAAGCTTAAGACTCTCGGCGCTGAGGAAGTCGATCTTGAGACAAAGGATCACGTTGAGAGCGAGGGGTCTGCCGTGATCAGGCGACATATGGAGATGATGAGCCGGTCCTATAACATTATGACGAGGCGATGATGAAGCCGATCATCATGCAATCTCAAAACTCTCGGCACTGAGGAAGCCGATCTTGAGACAAAGGATCACGTTGAGACCGAGGGGTGTGTCGTGATCTGAGGACGTATGGCGATGAGGAGCCGGTCCTAAAGGATCACGTTGAGACCAAGGGGTCTGCCGTGATCTGAGGACGTACAACGATAAGGAGCCGGTCCCAAAGGATCACTTTGAGACCGAGGGGCCTGCCGTGATCTGGGCTAGCGGTGCTGGCTGATGTGCCTGGATCTCTTCAACTGTAGACTTGGCCATTTTCTTCAAGACAAACGAGTAACCACAAACCTCCGGTGTCGGGTTGATGTGCCGGGGGCTCTAAAAACGTGGACTTTGCCAATTGTGTTGGGGTAACCGTCCTACGGACGTCTCTGGAAACAGCCCAAGAGAAGAGGTTACAACCGCATAGGGGACGCCCGGCCCCATGGTGTTGCCAAGGGTATTAGCTGGTGACATACGTCTGATACGCAGGCAACCGTGAGGGGACGTACGTCAGGAGACACGCTCATCAACTTGGGAGGTGCCCATTGTATTATCCGGGGACGTACGTCGGATTCAATTCTTCTGCCTTTCATCCCCATGGGAGACGTTCATCTTCAAGGAGATGGCCCCAGGGGACGTATGTCAGGAGTACCAAACTAGTCAAGGACACATCAGGGGACGTACGCCGGGTACCAAACCAGTAAAGGAGATACAGAGCGGTGATTCAATCCTTACTTTTAGGAGATAGTTGTATTCAAAGGACACCGTCATGGGACGTACGTCAAAAGTACCTTGCTAGCAAAGGACACCGTCAGGGGACGTAGGACAAGTGACTTGGGATGTGCCACGGGAGACGTACGCCAGATTTAGTTCTTCCTTTCATCCCTATTGGGGACGTTCGTCTTCAGGGTGCCAAACCCGAAAACGAGATAGCTTGAGGAGATGGCTACATTCCAAGGACACCATCAGGAGACGTACGTCAGGAGATACATATATAGAGTGGCGACGTACGTCGGATCCGAATCTGATTGCTTTAGTCCGCATGGAGACGTTCGTCTTCAGGGTACCGAACCCGGAAGGGAGATAGGTGCATTCTGATAACCGTCAGGTGACGTACGTCAGGAAACACAGGGGCGACGTACGTCGTATTCCAAGGAAAGGAGATAGCTTCCTTTCAAGGCCAACCGTAATGGGGACGTACGACAGGAACCACAGAGGGGCGACGTACGTCGGATACAATTCCGCTTCCTCTTGTCCGCATGGGCGACGTTCGTCAGGAGGCACAGTGGGCGACATACGTCGTATTCTTCTTCCTTTTGTCCCAACGGGAGACGTTCATCCTCAGAGTACCAAATCGTTGAAGGATGTGGCTGCATTCCAGGGGACATACGTCAGGAGGCCCATAGTGGCCCATGGGCGACGTTCATCTTCAAGGTGTAAACCCGGAAAGGGGACAACTGCATTCTAAGTAACCGTCAAGGGACGTACGTCATGGAACACAGAGGGCGACGTACGTCGAACTCCAAGGAAAGGGGATAGCCTCATTCCAAGGACAACGTCAGGGGACGTATGTCTTCTTTATTGGCCAAATTTCAATCCAACATGCAAGATGCAGGGGGACGTATGTCTTCATTTTAAATATCCCACTATTTTCTGCCGAGGGGTTTTGAAGTGTGGAAAAAATTTCGTCATTGATTTATCGCTAAGTCTATTCCCCCTCACTCCTTTTTTTGAGATGTGGGGGAGGCTTCTAGAAACTTGGTTTTTGGAAAGACTTGGTCTGTTTGGGAGGTAACGGTAAGAACCGCTGGCTCGCCCCTCGGTGTCTGACCTTCCGGGATCCGAGGGGTGTGAGAGTTGTTTCCTCGGCCCGAGACATCGTCTGTTTCCTGCCTCCCCTTGGGGGACGGCACGGAAAGCGTCTCGGTTTTGAAAGTAGTTCCCTCAGCCTAAGACATCGTATGTTGCCTGCTTCCCCTTGGGGGATAGCGCGGGAAGCGTTTCGTTTGTGAAAGTCGAATCATGGGCCCGAGACATCGTCTGGTGCCTTCCATTCCCTTGGGGAATGGCTCGGAAAGCGTTTTAGGGAAGGGTTTTATTTGCGTGCTAGACGCAAATGTCCGGATGCACTTGGTGCCCGCTGGAACCGTTAGGTGGCGCCTTCGGTGTAGGGACGTCCTCAAGGGGAACGACCCTTTTCTTACCCTAATGTCGGGGAGGCCGAGAGTCCGTTCGTGATTCTGAGGATGACGACACTGAGAGGCCATCCGTCGTGAAGGCGACGGTCCCCATCCTGGAAGGGACGGAGAGCCCTATCGCTACGACAACACTTCGGCGTTGAGGAGCCGGTCTGGAGATAAATAATCACACCGAGGACGAGGGTCGGTTGTGATATGAGGACGACGACAATGAAAGGCCGTTCGTCGTGAAGGAGACGGTCCCCATCCTGGAAGGGATGGAGAGCCCTATCGATATAACAACACTTCGGCGTTGAGGAGCTGGTCTGGAGATAAATAATCACACTGAGGCCGAGGGCCGGTTGTGATATGAGGACGATGGCAATGAGAGGTTGTTCGTCGTGATGGCGACGGTTTCC